TGAAGCATACAAACACACTGAAAGCAAAACCAGGAGTATAAATACACAACACATCCTAATGTAGTTAATTATTTGAATAAGTCACCTCAATCAACAGATACTGTTATTTATTTATTTTTTAAAGACTTTTACTTATTTACTTTTTGTTGTTGTTGTTGCAATTTGGCTGGGGCCGGGTTCAAACCCTCCACCCTCAGTATATGAAGCCGGCACTCTATTTACTGAGAAAAGATATTTTCTGATACCCTCTCCCCAGTACAGAAATATAAAGTATGTTTTTGGGGGTGAGGGGTGTGGGGTGGTTTATTTTAGTCATTGCACTGTTTATAGAGTGCAGTGGCGTGATCATAGCTCACTGCAAACTCAAACTCCTGGGCTCAGGGATCCTTCTGTCTCAGCCTTCTAAATAGCTGAGACTACAGGTGCATGCCACCATGCCCAACTGATTTTTTATTTTTGGAGAGACAGGGTCTCGCTCTTGCTCAGGCTGGTCTTAGACTCTTGAGCTCAAGGAATCCTCCTGCCTCAGGCTGCTTTCATTAGTAACAGCTTTAATGAGGTGGTTGGAAATAAGAGTCTGGGGATACTTCAAATTTCAGTTCTTGAGACCCATAAGAATGGCTTGTAAGAATATTATATACTTTAATAAACCATTTCATGCTATGTCCCTACACATATTTTCTGAATCAAAACATGTCCTGGGTAATTAGAGAACAGAAAAAATGTATGCTTTTCACAGCCCTGCAGGATCCATCAGGTGCCCTAGGGTTGAGACTTTCTGTTTATACATAAAGCTTGTTTAATTAAGTCTGTATTTTTTTAAACCACTACTTTCAGGATTCCATTTTGTATAACCCACTGATTAACTGAGAGGTTAATGCATACTGAGGCACTGTGGCTATGCCATCCAAGAAGGAAGCTGCTCCCTCCACTGTCTTCCTTACCTTCCTTCCATAAAGACACTGGTAGAAGATCACACCCACTGACCAGACGTCAACTTTATTTGAGATCTTTGGTGGTTCTTTCCCAACCACAAAACACTCTGGTGGTAAATACCTAGGACAAAAGAGAAATAAAACATTCTTTTAAAAAATGATTATATAAATCCAAGACATGTACAGAAAGACAAAAGACCTTGTTGAGAATAGAAATATCTGAATTTGAACAGTCAACTTGAACATATATAGAGAGTCAATGAAAAGACACTCTAACTTAGGGAAGAAGTAATATTCTTACAGGGTGTTAAAATACATATAGTTTATTGAGTGAGAGAATTATTCTCACTAGTCCCATTTCACTTACCCCAGCCTCCTTTCCCAGGGCTGTGACTAGTAAGTATCATTCAACAAGTTTTTAAAAGAGATTAGGTGACACAAAGAAATACATTCCCTTTTATGACAGTTTCATCAACATAATGTAACTAGAAATGCATGTGCTTCCTTCCATGTTGCCTAAAGAAGGAAAGGTTTCCAAAGTAAACAGCTGTTTTAAAACTCCAAATGATTTCAGGACACAGTATAGATCTCTGAGTTTGCTTTCGTATGGTAGCCTCTTTTGGAAATCTGGATTGGAAATAATGCCAACATAAAATCAAGGGTGATATTAAAGCCCAAATTATCAGAAGATATTTTATAATTCCTACTTCAAGGGCGATCAAGAGCTTATCAAAGACTAAGAAATAATGTAGCAAAAGTCAAACAAACTATTGTTAGAATAAGTCAATCCTCATCTAAATTCCTACCTCCCCACCACTGAATTCTAAAGAAACTACCGGATAGACAACCGCACCAAATTGTATGGTGTGGACGGTAAGTGCCTCTTGGCATTTAGGAAACCAAACAAATGTGCCCGGCTGGAAGGCAGAATTCTGATAACAGATAGGATTTCTACAGATTTCATGCTAGCAAAATCAATTCTGTGGAAAATTTTTTTATTTGAAAACCTACCATGCCCCTGGTACAAAAACATATATGTAAATCTAAATTTATAGCTCAAAGGGGACCATAAGAGTTGAGAGAGGACATGTTCCTTTTCCCAACCATCATCTATATAAAATTTCATCTCAGATGATAGCCTTGTTTTCTTTTTACAAAAAATAAGGTTATGAAAAAATGCTCATCATCCCTATTTATTAGGGAAATGCAAATCAAAACCACCCTGAGATACCATCTAACCTCAGCGAGAATGGCCCACATCACAAAATCTCAAAACTGCAGATGCTGGCGTAGATGTGGAGAAAAGGGAATATTTTTATACTGCTGGTGGGCCTGCAAACTAATGCAACCTTTTTTGGAAGGAAGTATGGAGAACCCTCAAAGATCTCAACCTAGACCTCCCATTTGATCCTGCAATCCCATTACTCGGCATCTACCCAGCAGGAAAAAAATCCTTTTATCACTAGGACACTTGCACTACACTGTTTGTTGTAAGCTCAATTTACTTTATAATCGCCAAAATGTAGAAACAGCTTAAATGTCCACCAAACCCAGGAATGGATTAACAAGCTGTGGTATATGTATACCATGGAATGTATATTACTGGTATACATGGAATGTATACATGTATACATGGAATGTATGTATACTCAGCCATTTAAAAAAATGGAGACTTACAGCCTTTGTATTAACATGGATGGAAGTGGAACACATTATTCTTAGTAAAGCATCACAAGAATGGAGAAACATGAATCCTACGTACTCAATTTTAATATGAGGACAATTAATGACAATTAATGACACGGTGGTGGAAGGGGAGAGAAGAGAGAAAAAGGAGGGAGGGGTGGGGAAAGGAAGAGCAGAGAGAGGGAAGGAGGGAGGGGGGTGGAGTCTTGGTGTGTGACACACCTTTTGGAGGCAAGATATGATTGTAGAGGGACTTAACCTAACAGATGCAATCAGTGTAACCTGGTTTCTTGTACCCTCAATGAATCTCCAACAATAAAATAATAATAAATAAATACATAAATAAATAAATAAGGTTAGTTTCTCCTTTTTTATTTGAGACAGTGTGCAAAAAAAAACAACAAAACCCCCTGGGCACAGTGCCGTGGCATCATAGCTCACAGCAATTAACTCTTGGGCTCAAGCGATTCTCATGCTTCAGCCTCTCAAGTAGCTGGACTACAGATGTCCACCACAATGCCTGGCTATTTTTAGGGACGAGGTCTCGCTATGGCTCAGGTTGGTCTCAAACCCGTGAATTCAGGCAATCCACCTGCCATGGCCTTCCAAGTGCTAGGATTACAGGCACAAACCACCTCCCCAGCCTTATTTTTTTTTTCTTTTTTTTTGAGACAGAGTCTACTCTGTTGCCCCAGGCTATAGTACCATGGTGTCATACTAGCTGACAGCAACCTCAAACTCTTGAACTCAAAAGATCTTCCTGCCTCAGCTTCCTGAGTAGCTGGGACTATAGGCACCCGCCACTACACCCAATTAACTTTTCTATTTTTAGTAGAGACAGAGTCTCAGTCTTGTTTGGGTTGGTCTCAAACACCTGAGCTCATTCGATCCTTCCATATCAACCTCCCAGAGTGACAGGATTTTAGGCACAGTGAGCCACCATGCCTGGCTGAGGTAACTATTTTCATTGTGAAAAAAACTACACCTTTCAAAAGAACAACCTATCAAACACAAGTGTGCTCAAATCCAAGTTCCAGTGAATTTACATAGCAGAGGTACAGACTTGCTTCTCGAATTTTCAACAGCGGATTATTTTTGTTTCACTTAGTGACAGAAACACTAACCACAATAACCACCATGGTGAATAAACAGTGTAAATGTAGCTTCTATTTAAAACTTGGAATTTCAAAGTTTTAATTTAGGGACTGTCTTTTTACTATAGGTACTATCTCCACAAGCAGTAAAGAGCAATAGAAACCAGAGTGATGGCTACATGGTATTATCAGCAGGATGTGACTGATGAGAACAGGGCTGACCTTGCATGCTGTGAATGGCACACCACTCTTTCTCGTCTATTTCCTCATTAACCTCTTCATTCCTAAACAGTGTCTATGTTCTCCTAAGGTCCAGAATCACACATGCCAATATGTGACTCTATGTGTCAATCTCAAAATGGAAAAGGAAGTTTTGTTAACACGTCTTTATAATCATAAAAGTTCAATGTCTGTGCTCAAGGTATCTTTTATTCTTTTCAATGCCAGAAGAAATAGTACGCAACAACAGGAGAGGTCATAAAATTAATTGGTAGGCAAAGCTAGATGGCATAGGGTAGTTGCGGGGAGACACGTGATGACAGACAGGAAGAAATGCACCTCAAAAACTCTTAGAACAGGGCTAATAGACATGGAAAACTTGTGGTAAACTGTGCTCACTTTTTCTATATAGATTTCACTTGATGCTATGGTAACTTTTCATCCTGATCTTTGTAACTTTCTAATTCTCGAGGGACAAACATCCTCAGGCAACTCTAGAAATAAAGCCCATGTTCCATTAACCCATGAAGAGAGACTTGCATTTGTAATAAAAAGAACTTGGGGCCTTTCTTCACATATACCACATGGGCAGTCCATTCTCTACTGCCTTGCAAGGCCAGTCCTACAGAGGAAAGCATCTCAAACACGTGGCCACCCAAAAGCACACACTCTCAAGGGGTTTCAAGAAAAGGAAAAAAAATTAAGACAAATTAATATAAATATAAAGAGTCAAACTGTTGGAAAGATAGTTAACTATTTGGGGAGAAAGTCTAGTTTGGTTTACAGCATTTGTGCCTTGCAGGCAGTATACAGAGATTAATTACTAATGACTAACGCTTCACGTACAGCAGAGTCACATCACCCAGTACACCTCCTGCATACCTACCAGTAAGTACCAGCACCTTGTGATGTTAGCTCCATGCCATCCACTGAATTGTAGCTATCATCATCCATGATCTTGGAAAGACCAAAATCTGTAATTTTTATCTCTCCACACGCTGTACCATTTACTAAAAGAATATTACCTAAAAGGACAAAAACCTTCATGATTAAGCAGAGACTTACTGATTAAGAGAAAAATCCAAAGTAATAACAGACAAGGAGACAACTGAACTCAAATTCTTATATGCAGAAGCAAACATCTACAAATAAACCACTCTGGATGCTGGCTGTTGGGGAAGAGTCCTCAGCGTCTGCTGGAAAGTTTTATTTTCCAAGAATCACCTGCTTAATGTGCCAAAACCACCACTATGAGCTCTGGAAATAAGAGTAACTTGCCAAAGTAAAATATCACTTATACAACTGGTCAAAACTAATGGGAAATTTTCATTTGAACTTTCAGTGAGGATTTCTAAATTGCCCTCTTTATTACAGTAGTTTGAGTGTGGATGGGAATGAAAGAAAACCCACAAGGGAATCAAATCTAGTACCACAGTGCCACCTACTGCTACTATGGCAGAAAGTACGTTGAATTCATTGCTAGAAAATTCAATCACGCAACAGCCAACTTAAAAAAAAATCACTTTATCATAATTAATTTTTAGCAATCTGAATTATATTATAATATTAAAGCATAGTTAGTAGTGATATTTAATATATAGCTATAGACGGGTAAAGTAAAGTCAACAATTCTGCCATACCAGAAGGTAAATAGGAACCATCTTTCTTTTTTTTTTTTTTGAGACAGAGTTTTACTATGTTGCTCTCAGTAGAGTGCCATGGCGTCACAGCTGACAGCAACCTCAAACTCTTGGGCTTAAGTGATTTTTTTGCCTCAGCTTCTTAAGTAGCTGGGACTACAGGAGCCTGCCACAACACCTGGCTATTTTTTTGCTGTAGTTGTCGTTGTTTAGTAGGCCCGGGTCGGGTTGGAACCTGCCATTTTTCTAAAGCCCAAGCTAAGCTGGTTAGAGTTGTCTACACAGAACATATGAAGACTTTAAAAACATAGCTGAGAATAACAACAAAAATATAGAGAGGCAAGGAGTCTAACAGTCCTCTACTTTCTGCTGATGACTATCAAAGTTAGATAAGCATACAAAAAACGGAAATCACTCAAAATTTAATGAAATGGGAAGCTATGTGCAAAATGTTAATTTGGGGGAACTTATCAACAAAGCTTAAAGAAGAGTTAACTGTTATGTAGTATGAGTAATGGGGGGGGGGGAACAGAACCTGCTGCAAGAGTTCCTTCATGGTACTGACATCATGAACTGCCCCAGCTCCAAAGACAAGGCATTGTTTCTCCTGAGTATCTAATCTGAACCACCGTCCTAAAATCAGTGCTGTGTGGCTAGGATTCTTCCCACATCTACCCAGGCAATCAATCTGAAGGCAGATGTTCATAAGACCTCTTGGCTTCTCTAACTTTATAAAATTAAAAGTCACTTGCAAGATGAAAGAAAAGCTACCAATTCTGTCTCCTAAAAGTTAGACATACCTGGTTTGAGGTCATAGTGTATGATGGGAGGTTTTATTTCATTTAAGTACTTTAAAGCATTCACAATCTGCATGATAATGGATCGGGCCTCTTTCTCCGACATTAATTTGTGCTGTTTCAAGTAGAAGTCCAGATCATTTCCCTCACAGTATTCTAATACTGTACAAAACCTAAAGACAAATAAACCAACATTTAACCAGAGGGTAAGAGCAAGAAGATTAAGACTATCTTAACCAGTTCCAGTGAAAACTTCAGGTAATTAGCTATACACTCCTTTTTTCTTTGTTCCTTAAAATACTCTTTTATTTTTTATTCAGCATTAGCTACCTGAGTGGCTTACAATCAGTAATGCTTCCTTGCTTGGTGAAAAGCCTCCATGCCCTCCACACTGCGGGCTGTTGCATGCAGGTTCACCCATGGCCAACCTTCTAAATCTAGACTATGAGAATAGTGATAAGAACTATAATATATCTAAGCTAGGCATCTCCTCGAACAGGTCTTCCTTTCAGACACTTACTTCATGCATTTCTTTCTTTCTCACTATGTCAACCTCAGTAGTGCTGTAGCATCACAGCTCACAGCAACCTCAAACTCCTGGGCTTAAGTGATTCTCTTGCCTAAGCTTCCCAAGTAGCTGGAACTACAGGCACCCACCACAACACTTGGCTGTTTTTGTTGCTGTTGTTGTTGTTGAAGTTGTCACTGTTGTTTTAGCTGGCCCAGATTGGGTTTGAACCCACCAGCCTTGGTGTGTGTGGCTGGTGCGCTACCCACTGAGCAACAGGCGCTGCCCACACATCCATTTCTAAATAACCATATTGTGATCAAGTACACAATAGTCACTGCAGACGTTTTATATAACCCTGTGTAGACAGTGCAGAAGAATCGAGGGTGTGCCCAGGTCCCAAGGACCGACTGCACACTATGTCTCTGTGCAGTATGGTACAATACTGCACAACAATTTTTCTTTTCTTTTTTTTTGAGACGGAGTCTCAAGCTGTCGCCCTGGGTAGAGTGCCGTGACATCACAGCTCACAGCAACCTCAAACTCTCGGGCTTAAGTGAATCTGTTGCCACAGCCTCCCAAGTACCTGGGACTACAGGCACCCACCAGCCTCGGTGTATGTGGCTGGTGCCCTACTCACTGAGCTACGGGTACCACACATGAACAACAATTTCTCACTGATAAACACAAAATGTCTAAGAGTTTGTAGAAGTACAGCATCTGTGGTTCTAACAGATGCATTACGACACAGTATAGGTTCTTTTTCCTTCACTTATGCCAATTCATAAACCTCAATATAAAACTACATGCCATCTGTGCCATTATGGGTCATATGTCTATTTTCTAAGGCTAAAAACTGAAGTAAGCCTTCCTGAACTATCTGAGTATTCCTAGAAGATGAAAATGTTTTACACTATTGTAAGTAGTGACAACGTGGGCATGTTAGTGGGTATGTCTAGCCAGAAAATAAAAACCATATGACTATTTAAAACAGATAGGCTTTTATTCAGGGAGCTGATCACACAGATGATAGAAATGCTAAGACGACAAACTGGCCAGTAAGGCACCCCAGAGATTATGAGATTATCTATAGCAGGAAGCCATTAGCATCCTAAGACCAAAAGGCCAGAGAGGAGATGGTATAACCAGAAACCAGAGTCGCCAGTGGAAAGTGGAACTGCAGGGGACAAGGGTTAAAGGACCTCCCCCCATCTTCTTCCTCATTTGCTGAACCCAGCTGGACACCAACTGACACATTGACACAGAGAACACAGGGTACAAGGGCTAACCCCTATAGGGTGCAAAGCGGGGAAGGCTGAGGAATGCAACTGTGAGCAAATAGGCTCAGGAGTATGGGACGCTGGGTAACGTGAGGCCTTCAAAAGCTGCTGTAATTGAATATGGATACCAAACAACGCCTTATGTTTCTTACAAAATATAGCAGGGTAAGCTAGCAGCCTATTTGAGAATAAATATCTGAAATTTATAGATCCTCTAATCTGAAATTCTGAAATCTGAGGTACAGACTGTCATACTCAAGGGACTGATTCTTTGACCCAAATACAAGCTAGAAATAAGACTTTCTAAAATGATGGTGAATATTCACTATACATATGATTGGAAGAACAAAATAATTACGAATAGTACAGAATTAATTCCATTTCTCAACATCAGTTAGAAGTATATATACAATTCAAAGCGGCAGACAAACCAAGTCACTATTATTTATCTCTGAAATAGTTTTCTACTTACTTTTCAGAGAGGGAGGTCTATCTAGCATTCAAGGAATTTACTCAAAGTAGAATAATGGTGTCACCCTGCCCCAGGTTTCCTTATCCTACTTTCTAACTAAGGTTATTTTTTTGAATCCTACTCCATGTGAAATACACCACAGCTACACCTGGCACAAGGGCCCCATAATGAAAAGAGGAAATCCCTGAGTGAATGGGACAGGGAACAGGTATATGTTTCCAAAAGGAATTATAGTTTCCTTTTGGGGTCACTTTTGAATGTGGGCTGCCTGTCTGCGCAGCCATCTCTGAGATAGCTGCTGGCTAAAACACACCGAAATTCCTAGAATTTTGCCCTGTCTCTCTCTGCACCAAACTAGTTGTTAAACATTTATCAGCATGTAAGTGCACATACACGTCCTCTGTCCTAGAGATGTCTTGCTAACCCAAATCTGAATTTATAATCACTTGCCCATAAATTAACATATTTGGTTCCTTCGGAGGGTATTTCCTCAACTCAGATGTATACTCTATTCTATGAAAATCAACATTGCAAGAAAATAATATTTATTGCTAAGGTAAAATGGAACAGCACTTACGAGTCAGTGTCCAGTGAAAAGTAATCATACAGCTTTACTATTCTGGGATGATCCAGTTCTTTGTGAATCCGGTATTCCCTACATGCATGCCTGTAAACCAAATGAAAAATTAACAAGGTATTTTGGCCTGCCTTTTCAAAATCTTCAAAGACACTCCCAAATTTCATCTCCATTGCTTCCACCATGTTTACTCTATTCAGCCCCATCTGGGTCCCTTTTCTGCTTTCTCTTTTTACTCATGCTATTTTCTCTACTGACATCTACCAAACCACTGAGAAAACAGTAGGTGCTCTAATCTTTTCTTTTTCTTTTTTTTTTTTCTGAGACAGATTCTTACTTTGTCACCCTTGGCAGAGTGCTGTGGTGTCACAGCTCACAGCAACCTCAAACTCTTGGGCTTAGGATATATTCTCTTGCCTCAGCCTCCTGAGTAGCTGGGAGTACAGGCTCCCTCCACAACACCCAGCTATTTTTAGAGGTGGGATCTCACTCTTACTCAGGGTGGTCTCTAACCTGTGAGTTTAGGCAATCCACCCACCTTGGCCTCCCAGAGTGCTAGGATTATAGGCGTGAGCCACTGCGCCTGGCCCTGGTTGTTTCAGTCTCCCAAGTAGCTGGGACTCCAGGTAAGAGCTATAACACCTAGTGGTCTCAGTATGTTGCTCATGCTGGTTTCAAACTGGCCTCAAGCAATCCTCCCATCTCAGCCTCCTACGGTGCTAGGATTATAGGCCTGAGTCACTGTGCCTGGCCAGGATTTGTTAAATGAATGGATGCTAACCTTTTATCCCTTTCAAGTTCATTCTATGATAATCACACTTCTTTATATTTATACCCAAATATCATAGATGTAAAAATTATAAAGCATTTTTTTCTCCTCTAAAGCTGGTACTTCATATCTGTAAATATTTATATCCTGGGACTATAGCAATTTTTTTTTTGAGACAGTGTCTCAAGCTGTCCCCCTGGGCAGAGTGCCGTGGCATTACAGCTCACAGCAACCTCCAACTCCTGGGCTCAAGCGAGTCTCCTGCCTCCGCCTCCCAAGTAGCCGGGACCACAGGCGCCCGCCACAACGCCGGCTATTTTTTGGTTGCAGCCGTCATTGTTGTTTGGCGGGTCGGGGCTGGGGATTGGAACCCGTCACCTTAGGTGTACGTGGCTGGCGCCTTAGCTGGTTGAGCTATAGGTGCCGAGCCAGCAATTTTAGCATGTAAATTCCTTGGGTTACAAAATTACATGATATTTAAGTCAATTGGCAATACATTATATTTTTCTGTTTCTAAATCCTACTTTTTACAAAAAAGACTTAAGGTGCTATAAGCTTTACTTTGGTCTTGGAAAACATGAAATCAACAGAAAATATGGTATTCCAAAAACCCCTGTTTTCTTAGAATGTTAAATTTAAATACAGTCAGGCACTACATAATGACTTTTTGGTCAATATTGATGAACTGTGCATACGACAGTGGTCCTCTAAGATTATAATGGAGCTAAAGAATTCCTACTGTGCCTAGTGACATAGCTATCATGATGTCATTAATGTAATGCATCACTCATGGGTTTGTGGTGACGCTGGTGTAAACAAAACTACTGAGCTACTAGTGGTATAAAAATCTAGCACACGATTATGTATGGTATATAATATTTGATAAATAACAATAAACAACTATGCAACTGGCTTATGTATCTACTACAGCAGGTCCTCTGTAATAATGTTGCTTCACTCAGCATCATTTCATTACAACTACAAGAGAAGAGAAGAAAAAAATGATCCAACGACTGGGTTACTCTCTGTGCGGTGTTGGCATGTTCTCCCCATGGATTTTCTCTGAGTATTCTAGTTTCCTCCCATATCCCAGAGATGTGCACTTTAGGTTCACCAGCATGTCTGAGTGAGAGGGGGTGTGTGTGCATGTGAATGTGTCCAGCTTCCCATCCAGGGTTGGCTCCTGCCTTGCACCCTTAGCTGCCAGGATAGGCTCTAACCACCCTCAACTCTGAACTGGAAAAAAGCAGGTAATCATTATCTTACTTATTATAATCTTTCTTAAATGTACATAGAGCTCGGCTCGGCGCCTGTGGCTCAACCAGCTAAGGCGCCAGCCACGTACACCTAAGGTGGCGGGTTCGAATCCCCAGCCTGGACCCGCCAAACAACAATGATGGCTGCAACCAAAAAATAGCCGGGCGTTGTGGCGGGCGCCTGTGGTCCCAGCTACTTGGGAGGCTGAGGCAGGAGACTCGCTTGAGCCCAGGAGTTGGAGGTTGCTGTGAGCTGTAATGCCACGGCACTCTACCCAGGGGGACAGCTTGAGGCTCTGTCTCAAAAAAAAAAAAAATGTACATAGAGCTCACATTTATTTCCATGTTTAACATTAGAAATATTTGGTTTTGGCCGGGAGTGGTGGCTCACGCCTGTAATCCCAGCACTCTGGGAGGCCAAGGTGGGTGGATTGCTTGAGTTTAGTAGTTCAAGATCGGCCTAAGCAAGAGCGAGGTCCTGTCTCTAAAAAATAGCCAGGCGTTGTGGCAGGTGCCTGTAGTCCCAGCTACTTGGGAGGCTGAGGCAAGAGGATCACTTGAGCCCAAAAGTTTGAGGCTGCTGTGACCTAAATGCTATACAGTACTCTACCGAGGTTGACAAAGTGAAACTCTGTCTCAAAAAAAAGGTTTGGTTTTTATTTAGAAGTTTCATGATTTTGTGACCACAAATATGACGTAGGAAGGTATGTTGTAGGAACTTAACTCTTGTTCACATCAATTAACCTATGGCAAAACTGGTTTCATTATACATCGTTTAACTCAAGTTGCAGTTTCCAAAAACCTATTAATAACATGGCATGAAGACTTATCATATTATACTTTTTATCTTTAGAGTGTACTGCTTCTACTTATTTAAAAAAAAGGTTAACTGTAAAGGAGCCCCAGACAGCTCCTTCAAGAGGTATTGCAGAAGACCGCCTTTGTGTTATTGCCCGTGAAGACCTTCCAGTGGGATAAAACGTAGAAGTGAAAGGTAGTGATACTGACGATCCTGATCCTGTGTTGGTCTATCCTAACGTGTATCCCTCTTATTCGTAACACAGAAGTCAAAAAATAAGTAAATTAAAATAGGAAGATACTCATAGAATACAAATATACTACCTATTCTGAAATGTTCGTGTATACACTGAATTTTAAAAGAATGATAGGATATATTTATACAATACAGTTACCAATAATTTTAGAAGTGTTTATTTCATATTCACAAATAACTAGAAATTATTATATTTTAAATAATCCAGCACCATTTGAATTAGAATGTTTTGTTATAAGGCAAAAGTTAGAGAAAAGAGAAACTTTCCAAACTATAGCAAAATAAAACTTTAAAAAAAGTGATGTCTTCTGAAACCAGTATACTCTAGGATATCAAAAATATACAGAAGTACTCAAGAGCTAAAGAAAAATTCAGGAACACGGGAGAGAGGAACAGGAACCTAAAAATAATTGTGCGTGGTTTTTCCCCCAATGAAAACTGATTTGGCTTATTTTTCAAGCTGCCGCTTTTGCTTCTTCTGATGCTCATGTAATCATCTTTATGTTTTTCTGAAAAGACTTCCCAAGATTGAGGCAGACCAATGTTAGAAAACACACTACACTGGTCACCCAAACACCGGGCTCCCAGCTCTCTGTGAATCCACTACTTTGAGCTTCTGTTTCGTTATCCCTGCACTGTAAGTTTAGAAGTGTGCCTCCTGGACTACAACTTGGACTCCACCTAACAAACATAAACAATATAACCTAATTGTACCCTCATATTAATCTGAAATTATAAAAGAAAAGAAAAAAAAAGTACAGTTAGTTCATGGTTCCTTTAGTTAAAAAAAGGGTACAAGTGAATCTTTCTAAGAGTAGAATATGAACGTCTTAACACAACAACTAAGAAAATGACATGAAGGCTGTGTTAACCAGTCTGATGAAAATATTTCAAATTGTATATGAAAACACCACACTGTACCCCAGAATTGCATTAATGTACATAGTTATCACTTAATTAAAAAAAAAAAAAGAAAGCATACTTCTTACAGACACTGAGCAACTGTAGTCTTTGCCTAGCCATCCACCAAAAGGAGCTCCATACCATCAAGATGTAATATCAAACTTGGTAACAGAAAGGTGCTCTGTTTTTTATAAAGTTGAGAAGTTTAGTCCCCATGTGGACTAAACAGATCAGTGTTCAAATCATTTCTCACCCTAATATGCTATAAACCTAAAGGTCTCTACTGTTTTGTTTTACATGGACTTCTTGATTTTCTCTTTTTTAGAGCAGAGACCAATTTCTCTGTCAAGGTACAGAAATAGAGGAAACTAAGAGAGGCAAATATTAAGAGTCAAAGTGTCACACAAAGTCCTTGCCAATTAAGTGAATCTGCAGTGTCCCTGAAAGTGTTCCCTCAACACTGTATTTAGCTCTAAGGCCGCCTCTGTCACTACATCCACAAGGCAGTAGCTGAGCCACATTCAGTTTAGCATTAATGCACTATAATTAGAGATGTTAATAAGAAACGGGAAGGGTCTAAAGTGTCTTTTACTCTCTTTGATATATATTTATAAGCACATGTGTATTTAGACTTTCAAAATGCTTACTTTTACCTTAGAAAATTAAAACTTGAGTATCATACAATAGTATACTAATTCAGATGTATTTCTCCAGATAGCTTTATAAAAATTCTTTCTACTATAGAATTTGCAATACGTTATTTGGGGCAGTTAAAGAAATCTAGTTAATATATATTAATGTTTTCATAATGCAAAGGTAATACAATCATTGTTTTGTTTTGTTTTGAGACAGAGTCTCAAGCTGTCGCCCTGGGTAGAGTGCTGTAGTGTTACAGCTCACAGCAACTTCAAACTCGGGCTCAAGTGATTCTCGTGCCTCAGCCTCCCAAGTAGCTGGGACTACAGGCACCTGCCACACCACCTAGCTATTTTTTTGTTGTAGTTGTCTGTTTAGCAGGCCTGGGTTGGATTTGAACCAACCAGGCTTGGTGTATGTGGCCGGCACCCTACCCACTGAGCTATGGGCGCCATCCTACAATCAGTTTTTGTTGTGGGGAAAGGAGAGAAAAGAAGTGCTGATGAAACTCAAAATTCAATAGAACTACACTTTTGTCAGTTTTTCCTTGTTTTTTACCCAAATAAATGGCTTGATTCCAGATGGGACTGAATACAAAATCAATTAAAATATCTCACTGAAACGTCACAGGGCTATAGCATTTTCATATTTCAAAATGTTATGACCCTGAAAATACACTACTTTTTAGTTTAATACTGAATGTTTAAAGCGCTCATCAAAATCTGTTATATGTTTGATGTCAAGCCTCCTGTTAAGTTCAAAGGAGTTAATGACATTTTCCAATTCACCATTATCGGTAGCCTAAAATTCACCAGTATGATTTCATATCTCTTATAAATCAAATGCTTCCAAAGAAAAGTAGAGGTACTTAAAAATTTTCCCCAGCAGCAACAGAGATCACAAGAGCTTTGCATATCCCCCACCAATATATCTGCCCCGCGGGACGTGGCCTATGTCCAGATGGCTCAGGCACCAAGGCTCCCTCCTCTGATGAGAAAACAAAGAACATAAGGCACCACTGTCAGGCTAGAGCTGGACTGGCAAAGAGCTTCACTTGCTCTATGTCTGGTAGAGAAAGACACCCAATCTCTACCCACTACAACTCAAACTGTTTGCTCAAGGAGGTACTTGGACTCCTCCCTGTTTCAGAAGGCTAGGCAAGATGTATAGAAACCTTAGCACAGGAACTATGTTCTCAAGGTTGACAAAGGCTGATTCTAGAGGGCACAAACTGCTCCGACGCCCATAGGCACTCTTACAGTCTAAATATCACAGGGACACTGCTCATTTACAACCAGTTAGAGCAACATGTGGTTTCCTTTTCGGAAGCGCTCCTGGCATTCACTGCTGCGTACCATTCATCCCTACACGTCAAGTGACTGGAATGTTCTTCTAATAATGTAACTGTTCCTCAGGAGCATCTGGACCACAGCTGCCTGTCACCTAAGATACACATGCAGAGTGCCACAGATTAACCCCTTTCCTACCTCTCTAAAGCCCTATTTCTCTTATTGCTGCAGGAACTATCTCTTCTCCAGCACTAAGTGCCACTAGCCATGTGTCTGAAATAGCAAGAGTTTCTAGGCTCCTGACGAACAAGAGGCATAGAGTAAGAGTAGCCTTGGTCCAAGTTAAAAGGGTACTTCAAAGTCCACTGTTTCCCACCCCCCACCCAAGTATTATTTGTAAGAAAAAAACATGATTACCTTTAGAGAAAGGAGGTTTTTGTTTCTATCAAGAAGGGCTTGACTCTTCCTTTCAGGGACAGAAACTTTCTAATTCAATACAGTACCAACAAGGGAAACAGAACTAAGTCCAATGGGGAACCTAATAGTAAATTAAGTCTGTGTAGCCTCCAAAGCAAATGAGCCATGAACTCCAATGTTCTGACACTCAGGGAGAATACAGGCAAACCCTAACATTAGTGGAACAAAGCAATTCACAGCTGTGCATGTAATAACTATTCTAAAGAAACCACCCTCTCTACACCAACCCAAGTACAGATGAAGGCTGCTACTGTGGCATTCTGAAGACAGGCAAGCAGAGAAAGTGGGACACTGAAGACTGAGAACTCTGAGCTGGGCAGACTGTGACAGGGAGGAGAGGGCAGCATTGACTGATGGACTGAACATGTCAGATAGGAACCACCGAGGCATACCAGGTGCCTCCCGGTCTCCTCCACAGGAAATGACATAAGTAGCAGAAAGAGCTCCACTGGGTCTGATTTCTATGGACAAGTAACAGTGGTTTCTCCATTATCTAAGTTTTACTTGTTTACTGTACCTATTCTCACGATGGAAGGGAAGTTAAGAGCACGGGCTTTAGATTAAGGGATGTCTGGATGGACTTAAATACCAGCTCACCACTTCTTGAGAGTTATTCAAATTCTGTAGGTATCAGTTAACATTGAGATATGTTCATTCCTCTAGGGGAGTTATGAGGATTAAATAAAACAAAACCCAGCAATGCATGTGAAGCTCTTAGCATAATGCTCAAATACAGGTTATCATGAAATTATGGAAAATCAGACACTCTAGTATCACTTACTTGTGGTAATTCTCCTTTTTCTCATCTCTCCAGTTTTTATTTAACTGGTGAATTTTCACAGCTACATATCTTTGCTCTGTTAGATCAAATGCCTATAAAGAAACAGAATACATTAATTATATTCTGGATAAATGCTAACAAGAATCACAGGCAACTGACTTGAAGCTTCCACTTAACAGATAACATGAAGTTCAACTGCATTATTAAATAGAAACAGCAGCAAATGACAACATATCACAGACTTCCTTCAGTGTTGCAATCATCTTCTTGAAACTTGTGATTAGATAATTTAGAAGTCTCCAGACACACTGGCACCAAGAGGTTTAGAACATAAAGCCAACCACACACCACAGACAGAAAGACAGCACTGCCGTAACAGTCATTTCCCAACAGTTCCCTTTCTGGACACATCTATTCCCATTTGGGACCTTTCTCCTATAGGATGTCTCCCGTTCCTCAGCTGACATTGGGACTTAACATGTTTAAGCTCTGCCATTTCTGAAATCCTAAGGACATACACTGCCTGCCTTCTGGAGAAAATAACACTTAGGATATACTTCTTTGGTATGACTGTTAACAAAATAATAAAGTAATTCGGTTTATTGTGTTTATTAAAATAAAAAGAAAAGCAAAAATAGAAAAATCCAGCCCTGTCTCTAGTCCCACCCCTCTATACTAAGCAAATGAAAAGCAGTTTTTTTTTTTTTTTTGGCTAGGGCTGGGTTTTGAATCCGCCACCTCTGGCATATGGGACCAGCACCTTACCCTTTTGAGCCACAGGCACTGCCCCGAAAAGCAGTTTTTAATCTTAACAAAGTCTGAAGTTAGTCATACCAAGTCCCTTCCCCAGTGCTGTCCAGAGAAATGGGCCTTTCCCAAAGAACCCAGCTGCTTACGAATGAGTTAGGCAGTGCTTGGAGGAGAAAAGATAACAGATGGTTTTTTCAGGAAGTTGAGTGTAGAGCACAATTTGATAAAATAATATTTTAATATAATAGATTTCACCTATAGAAAAGAATTTACTGTCTTAAAAGAGCTTAAGTTCTTTTTTTTTTTTTTTTTTTTGAGACAGAGCCTCAAGCTGTCCCCCTGGG